TCATTGATTGATTTCTCCAAGGGAAATAAAGTTAGAGCTAGTTGTCGGTTTGGTCAATTTTTGTCGGCTGGACCTCCCATTTCGCAGGCCTAAAATTTGAAAACCTGGAACATAGTGGAAGAAGAACATAGCATCTTGTAGAGCAGACAATTCTCTTTCGAATGGTATATGACTCGATGTAAAAGCATGGGGATTTAGATGAAAATTTTTTGGTTGAAAAAAAGCGACACTATTTATGAGACAACCTAATATATCGTACCACGAAGCAGTGACTTATGGTTAGCTGCCAGGAAGCTATGGCTCCTTCACAACGAATGGTGTGCTGGTTGAGAGTAGTATTCGAAAAGCGCTGCACCCACTAGTTTGGTTAGTGATTTGCAAGAGCTGTGTTGGCAGCAGCGGCACAACTGGAGCAACTAGACTGGAGTATGGAGATACCTGACAGGTGGCCCTTCGCGCGGCAAGAAGGTAGAGTCTGTGGACCAGGGTCAACCGTCCGTTGGACAAAGTCCAACGCGACGACGAGAGTAATGCCGAGAGTGAACGTACGCACGGAGACACAGACGGCTCGCGGGTGGCGAGAGTGAATGCCGGCGCGGAGAGCGGTCAACATCGGTCCAACGTCGCTCCAATATCGGTCCAACGTAACGGTTGACCCTGCGGACGAGTCGCAGCGCGTACTGTAGTGATTTCGCGTCAAGTTAAATAGAATGTACCATTGTACGTCCTACATCGCACAGCACGCGCTGCGACTCGTCCGCTGACTCTGCCTTCTTGCCGCGCGACGGGCCTCCTGTCGGGTACACAGGATTGCCATGGTGCCACCAAACGCGTTTCGCTAAACCCGTCCATACGTTCGCCGTCGTCGCCGCTGCCGCTCGGCTAGAGAAAATCAACGGCCACACAAGGGGAGCCGTTTTCTCGACGAATTTCTTTGTTTTTTTTCCACTGGGGTACCACTGAGCACGCTCCGCATCGCCCCCCCCCGTACCATCCAAACCCCTCAGACCCTATCGTAATCTTAGCCTTTAACCAATGCCTAATCGTCCCCTCTAATCGTTTTTTCAGCTTCTCACTTACTATTCACTTATACTTCCTATCGTTATGTATGTATATATTAAGCGAGATCTCCATAATAAGATCGCTTCATTTCAAAACAACATAAATCAAGAGCTCTTCCAAAGGAGTTGAAGGCAGTAATCTCTATTTTGGCATGTATGAAAAACACTGGTGATACTATGAAACGGAGTAATAAAATTTTTTCTGTAACCCATTCGCGACCGCGCTGGGGATTTCCAAGTCTGCCCGTTCAGACCAGCGCCGGATTGCGCAAAAGCAGGGAAATCAGGAGATTTTTCTTCGATAAAATCTTGACTGGATAGAGATTTCCTCATTTCAGGGCTGGCGTCGATGAATGAGGGTATGAACATTCTTTTAAGGAAAGAAAACTTTTCAAATTCCATTCGAAACTCGAAAGCCACCTCTCGGTACCTTTGTCCCGAGTGAGATCTTTGGCAGCCACCGGTGGATGCCATAGTCCCAAGTGAGCACCTTCGTGGCAGCCAACGGTGACTGCCATTGTCACGAATAGGGTAATTATGTGACTCAGTAAGAAGCAAACGAGAATTTCTGAGGGTACTGGTTCGTGGCAATAAAAATATCCATTGCACGAGCGTCTCGTGAATCCTATAATCCTTACATTGTAAACGCATCTGGCTAGCAGGTGCTCGTATGCGATATGCGTTAGGAGGTGTACGGTGTGTCGAAAATAGTAGTTTTTCTCTTCGCGCTAGAATGAAAAGCCAAGGGAGTTCATAGGCAAGTGACGTATGCTGTCGCTTGGCGGGCGAGGGGCCGCGTAGGTAAGGAGTGCATCATGGGTTGATGGATGGAGACCGGCAAGAAGAAGGAGTAAAAAGATATGAAAGATCCGCGAAGGCAATGAAGCAGGATAAACAACCCACTATAGTAAGAACGAGTGATCTTCGTGGATAAATATGGAGTCCTACCAGTGTTCGTCCATCCACCGTCTAACCTACTCAAACACATGAAATAGAAGCTTTTGCCGAAGCGCACGCATTTACTTCTGCAGACCGGCAGAAATATGCGTTCAATCTGACCCTTAGTCATCGGAATTGGGGTCAATTAGTGGTGCGCATTCCAACAAGACAGGCTTTTCAATACCGTGTTTTTATTTGTGGCTATGGTAAAAGAGCTATTGCTAGGCTAGTAAGTACACCCGCAAAAGCCTTGAGTCAGCAAGCGCGAAGGGTGACCCCGATCCTGTAGCTTAAAGTTAGTAGGCGCACTTTACCCGAGGGCCGCGGGTGACCAAGGCCCGAGAGGTACGTGCGGAACGAGGCCCGCGGCTCGGAGCTCCAAGTTTGTATATACCAGACCAAGCGTTCCTGTTACGCCTATACATACTTCACGGTAGACTATTCCGCTGATTGCGCGAGAGAGCAACAAATTTGTAGAATCAGGCCGTGAGCGATCGGAAAGCTCCAACTTACTCGTAAAAGTGTACAAATTCTGTGAACCACTAACCAAAAATTCGTGCAGTGCTCGCTCATACTAGTCCACGAATTATAGGACAGCAATCCCATGAAAACGTTTCGGTCATCTATCAGAACAGGAAAGTGCTAGAGCCCGCACCTTGAAGAATAAAATACAAATGTTCGAATGTTTTCAAAGTTGCTGAGTTAAATGATCGACGCACTTTTGCCCAAGCCCAAGACGGAGAAGACCACTTGTGCTATTGAGCGACCACTTCGTACCTTCTAAGCACTTGTGCAACTGATTACCCGGCGACTTTCACCTTGACTCAGCTTCAGTGTATCGGTGTGGCGACAACCTCTTCTACACCTTACCCATTTCTAGCATTCATGAGGTATCCAACCGAAATGTTTCAACCATGCGAGTCGAGCATTCAACGATGAAGGGTGGAAACTTAGGCAAATAATATGTGCTCGGTACGCTTGTGTCTACAGACAAACCGCTGTTCTTCTGCTTCTAACACTAACGCCTCGATCAATGATGGACGCGGATCGGATGTCGGATGGAGTGGGTTGGGGGGGGACCGGCGCCTGCATATCCCTGACGTTCCTTCGCGCTTCCTGTTGGGTGTTCGCGTTCCGCACAAGTCACCACTAATTCCGGAAGTGGCAATCGCGCAGCAGTATGTTGATTTATAAGTGTCAGATCGATTTGCCGACTGGCGCAAGTCGCATAAAGCGACTGATGGCGAACCAATCTGATGACGGCCGCGACCAACGCGCCTCCGTGCATATCTGCCGGCTTTCGCCGAGTGCGCAAAGGTCTAACACGGTCTAGACCTGCACAACGTCCGATTTCCCCTTACGATCCAGCCTGCTGGACTTGCAACACTGCACTTCTGGCTCCTTGCAAACTCCTATCGTGCCTATGCACGCTTTCATATAGAGGCCACGTCCAAGCGTCCATTGCTCCGTTTTGCTAATTCTCCGAAAATAGTTTACGACCTGCCTCATTCGGCGTCTCGATACGACCCGTCATACACCTCCACCCACGCATCAATGCTCCTCCTGAGCACGACCTGCCCTGCCCGCCTTCCCATCTCGCGCCAACTACCAAGCCTTCAATTTAACTCACGCAACACGGGCCTACTTCTCTAGCATCGATTCTGGGAATCATATCGGAGCATAAGCTACGTTGTCCCTAAAGATTTCGAAAGAGGTAGGGGAGTTGCATAGGGGTGATGTAGAGGGGAAGGGTTAGTATTTTAATGCGAAACGCCAAATCCCTCTACTCTCAAAAACTCTTTCCTGTTAACCTTTCCGAATCTGGACCAGAACTACCCAACCCTCCCTTTGCGAACCACGACCTCTTTGCAACCACTGAACTCCCAAAAACATCCTTCTACAACCTTTTCACCTTGACTAATACCCCCTACAAAAAAACTTAAATACGACCCCTTCGATGAGCTGCGCAACGCATGAGCACGCCCCGTTCAAAAGCTAGTCGTGCGCTGTGCTTTCCAAGTGATCTCAAGTAGAACATTGAATAAGAATATCTTCGTTCATATCATTCCAAACTTCGAAACAAGGCTAGTGCTATAGTTTCACATTGAGAAATCACATTGCTCAATATGCCAAGCTATCAAAAACAAGATTTAACTAAATTTTGATAAACATGAAATAATCGAATTAAAATAAATAAGTGAATCGAACGATGCTCTATATCAGGGCATAAACAGAAAGAAAAGAAATTAATACCCTATACGAACGAACGTTATTACTAAACTCTTGGAGCCCTAACGAGATCTACGGAGTGTAAAACAACAGATTCGAGATTTTGCGAGTGTGGAGCAGATATGTACAAATCTTACATACCCACAAAACTGTTAATGGCCAAAACCAATCACAACCTACAACAACGAAAAGCATTATCTGAAAGGAAACTGGTTCAGATGGCATGGCAGCTGTCCCGATCGACATATGTAGGCATAACGAACATATATTTTGGCTGTACTAACATAAAATATAAATGCGATTTCAAAAGCAGTCTCTACCGCTTAAGACCGTATTCACAGTGTTAAAGCCGTCTCTGATATCGCATTAAAGACACCGGTCGAGTTTTGGTTAACTGGCAAAGAAAAAACATGTCATTATAACAAAATTATCGCAATTAACACATTGCATAAAGCACTAGACCCATGTAGCTACCAGAATACAAAGGTATCGAGAGGAAATGCGTGAGGACAGAGTAGGTTTAAAGCGATTTGGGACCTGATGCACCAACAGGGGCTAAGTTGCCCGATTTGAGTGAGGTCCAAATACATAGTCGAACTCAAAACAGTAGACAACTTCATAGAATGACGGGCAGCCTATTTGAATATTAAGTTGGTAGATCAGGCCGCCGATCCAATCTAGTTCCTGCCACAAGAAGAGGTTGACATAAATGGTGAAACCACTTAGACAATGAAGTCGTTCAAGTTATAGCACCATAAAGCACATCCAGTTCTAGTCCAGCTCGATTACATCAGGAACGGAGTTCAACGGTGGCGGAAGCCTCAAAGGTCGTGGTGGATCGGGTTGTATGGTTATCAAAGGAGGTACTCGATTAGAAACTAAAATGATAAAAATTCCTTTCAAATTACATCAAATAAAAGAATTAAACCTCACTGAATGTATCGTAGTGAATCTAAAAGACCTGAATCAAACACGGAGTTTTGAGCGTTCAGGAGTAATCCGTTGCTTAGTCGCAAAAACACTCCGTCAGCACTTCGAACTAACATTGCCTGTGTGTTTGCAGGGATTTCACGTCGCTCCGTAGGGTGAGACACGATTGGCAGATTCAAAGCTGAAAACACGCCAAATTAACAAATTATAAGTACTGACTATTAAAAAATAAGGAAGTATAGGAACACGAAACTGTCAGAAGAAAGTATGGATACAAACAGCGTGAGCCCACCTCGATCAGTTCTAATCAACTGCACACTGCCTCTGCTGTTCGATGCAGGTTCAAAAGCAATGGCGGCACCAGGAACGGCGGTGGAACACGGCGAGGTCCTTCCATCGGATTGAACATGCGATTCAAACCGACTAAACATGAGAAATACTAATGTTTGTCAAATTTAACCAGCATGTATGCCAGAGCAATATCATGACACGCTCTTATCGCGGAGTTTCCCTGCAGTACTCTTTACGGATCTATACCAAAGACACTTCCTTGACGCCAACACTTGTTCACTGTCATCATTTGAAATGGTTAACAAGTTATGACCCGATTGCACTTTGAAAATGGACATCGTTCAATCAAATCGCTGTTTTGCAAAAAAAATCGTCGGCCATTTTTAGGCAATTAGGCAACCCCGGAGATTTTTCAAATAGCTCAGGACGTTTTTCATTTCGACCCGGCTTTTTTTCAATGAACCGTGGACAGTTTTCAATTCAACTTGAATCTTTTTCAAATGACCGTAGACATTCTTCATTTCAAGATGGATTTTTTTCATTTCAAGCCAGACACCGCTCAAATGAAGCGTAACCACCTTCATTTTCGGTCGGTAATTCTTTTCAACATCAAAACAACAATTCGCAAAAAAAAACAATAATATCCGGGAAACCTTCTTGGTCAAGAAAATACTACATTTTCGAGTGAAACAAATGGTCATTTCTCTACAACCGAACACAAGGGGAACAAAATCAACAAGTTCAATTAACGAAGGGCTGTCCAGCTGCCGCGGTCGTCAAATTTACCATCATGTGGAGGACGTAACTCGCACAATCCTGCTCTTCACCGTTCCAGTGCTGAAACACTTTCCGGATACGACTCAAGCCATCCCCTGATGCACTATCTTCGGCAGCTATTCGTTCACCATTGTTATTTGATATTCAGCCCGCGTATTGATCCCTTGAGACAGAAACATTGCAAGAACAAGGTCGCATAAGGGAAGGGATTCAAATACTCGGGACGATCCTAGAGAAGGTTCGATGAAGAAAAGAGGATCGCTGAAACAAACGTGTATGGGGCAGATTAGAGTTCCAATGAGAGATTTTCAGTTTTTGTTCCAGGATTTGAACATCTCAGCACATCCGTCAATTTTCAGTCAAATTTCAGCGAAAAATGTTATTTGACATTCTAGAAAATGTGTCCAGTTTGATCTGAAAAATCTCACCAATGTTTTGAAAAGTGTCCTAAATGAATGAAAAAAAGCCGGGTCGAAATGAAAAATGTCCACGGTCCAGTGAAAAAAGCCGGGTCGAAATGAAAAATGTCCACAGGTCATTGAAAAAAAGCCGGGTCGAAATGAAAAAAGTCCTGAGTCAATTGAATAAGGTCCACTTTGGAGTGGAAATGGTATATATTTGTACTCGTACGTTGACACTTTCCGCGTCCGCCTTTGTCACCCATAGCTTCAATTACAGATAAGAAGAATACGGGACAGGTCGCTACTGTTGCGACTGCTTAGTTGGGGGTCGCAGAAGATGAAGAAACCGTCAACAGCATAAGTCACTCTCCACCGTTGGCTAGAGTACAGCACCGGCAGTGGTTACCGATGGCTGCGAATTGGAGCAGGTGTTCGACTTTGATCGAGCGTCAATTGACAAAAGGGCTTCAGGAGGTGGTGTCAACCAGACTCCTTAGCGCGCTAGAAAGTCTGCTGCACCAATAATGTCCAATGACGTCATCAAAACCGCTCCACCTTCGGCCATCGTTCCCTGCTTTCATCAGAATTTCTAAGCATTTCCTTGGCAGCATGGAAAGAAAGAGAACTCTAAGAGGTGCAAAAGCGACGAAAAATGGGTACGTTTCTAAAGGATTTATCCAGCTCTTAATATGGATCGGTAGTTCTCCAGGTGTGGAGCGTCAACGGAGTAGATAGACATGTGTCGTGAGAAACGACTTGGCCATGTTCTTCGATATTGAAAGGCAGGATGTCCAAAACAGTGACTAGAGGGAAAATGAAAGAAGGGAGAGAGAGAGGCGGCAATTGAGTAGCAGTAGCTGATGACAGCCATGCGGTGTCTCAAAGCTTTGTTCCAATTTCTCATATTTTCCATCATAAGTTCTTTCTTGGCGATTTCCAAATCAATTCATGCGGGCTATGCAGAGCACATTGTAACATCAGGAGCAAGCTTATCACTTTGAATGTTCTTTGCGTTTCTCTGTATGGTTTTCAACTGGTTTGAGAAAACGCCCACGCCCAGAGCGACATCCCTTTCTGAAAGGAAACGTTCCGAACAAATGTAACTGTAGACAGAACGTACCCATTCCTGCCTCGCTACCATTTTCACCGCTAGGATGTGCATAGCCCATTGGATATCCACCATTCCTAAACAATGATTCTGGGTGAAAGAACGGGTGTTCGACAAAAAACCTACCCCGCCAAAGACATTGGAACACGATCGAGTTGGTGAGGGATTGGAGTAGAACGCAGAGGGGGAGGATCCATCATCGGACTGTAAAGAAGAAGTTGGCCGTTGTTCCGCAGCCAGGAATGAAATAAACGTACTTGAAATGCGGAGAGCCTATCCAATGAGGAGGACCTCTAGGTGCTCTTGAATACCCGCCATAGTGTTCACCAGGATCAAGCATCGGTGCATCGTTGTATGGAAGTGTTAGAGCCTAAAACAGTACTATTAATATCAATGAAAAATGGAAGAAACTCCGCTTTCTAAACGAGAACCGTTACTCAGGCACTTACGTCTTTGTACTGTTCTTTGGTGAACCATAGCT